CAGATATTAAGTCTCCCATATTTCAGATGATTGTTTTGTCAGAGTTTATGGCCTTAAAAGGATTCCTCTGGCCTTTCTCACCCAGTTCCTGGCCCAGAGGACATGGGAAAAATGCTTTGGTACAAACCCATTATACTCATTGACACTCCAGATAAAGCCAAGTACTGCGTAGTCCTGAGCTCCCCATGCACATTTCTGCAAGAGAACTTTTTTTTTACATTCACTCCCTCCAAGGCTAGCTGAAAAAAATTTGTAGTGTCTTAGAAATGATTGAGAAGGTTTTTTAAAAATTATTATTATCATTATTATTATTATTATGAACTTGGAATCCGTAGGCACTCAGCATGTTTGAATGTCAGCCCAGACACTGGCAGGCATCCATTCAGATGTCGTTGTGAGTAAAATGTGTACTCAGTGACTAGGTTCAGGCCCTCTGCATTTTCCAAGCAGATCTTTCCAGTTTTCTAGAATATGGGGAAAAAATAGGTTAAGAAAAATTTATGGCATGTGTGTGTAGACACATGCATGTATGAGACCTGTATGTCTTCCTAACATGGAAATTATATTTCTATGGCCAGTGAAATCTCCATGCTTCATGCATCACAACAAAGCCTGTTTTTTTTTCCCAGATGCCTTTTAATTATATCTTTTAATTCTTTGACTATTAAACCTGTTTGCTTTAAGAGCTGTAAACATCTCATACTGCTAATAAGCTTCAGCAAAGTAAAGCAAATTGACATTCAGTATAGAGGTTATACAAAACCAATGAAAAACTATGCAAATGAGCTACAGAAGAGGCAGATTTGCATATTCTTGTAGATTGGGTGATGATATTCCCAGCATGAGCCTGGCAGACTTGCGTTCTACCTCTGTGGATAAAGCATATTCTGGTGGTAGGGCCCTGAAGGGTCAATTTAACAAGTAAAACATTATGATTTTCCACTAGGGTTCTCAGAACCACTGTGCAAAATGCAGCAATAAATAGTGACAGAGGAAATCGATTTTTAAAGTAAATACATTGAAAGGGGGTGAGAGGGAAGAACTGAGGGGATAGAATGGTATTCTATAAATCTTACATATTACCAGAATGAGTTTAGCAATTGCTGTAGTATTCCAAAATCAGTCCCTCTCCTTATCTCCCCATTCTCTATATCACTCCCCAGTTCTGATACCTCGTGGCATTTTTCATTGTCCCAATCCCAATAAGAGACTCGGCTAAGAAATTGCCTGCTTTCAGTAACCAGCCTGCTAGAGTAACAAATGCCCAACTGACTGCTTGGTATCACAAAAGTCCCACTGTTACTTCATTCCTTGAATTGCTGGAATCCAGGGAGGGGTGTGTGTGTGTGTGGTGTGTGTGTGTGTGCACACATATGTGTTCCCCTGAATTCCTTACTCTCTACAAAATCAACTCTCTTCCCTTTATTTTCCCTAAAAGAAGGAGAGATTTCAAGAAGAACATAATAATTGAGAGGAAATAATTAAATACCTTGCTTAAATATTCTGGATGCATTTTAAAGGATTTTCTCCCCAAGTAGTTATAAAACACCTCTGAAGTAAATTTACCCATCTTTTGCCCACACCAATCCTGTTTCATTCCAGGAATAAAATTCTTCACTTTGGTTTAAAAATAAAATGAGTGGAACAAGCTGAATTAGAAGTCCTTGGCAGACATCCCCCTGAGCAGAATGTTCTCCCAATTGGTGGCATCTCAATAAAAGCAAAGATATTTTAAAAATTTACACCCCCCCTTCAGCCAAAGTTGCATTTTTCTATTGTAAAAAGCCAATATGTCTGAGTTTTACATCGTCCCTGTGATGCCGCCCCCACCCCCTCCTTACCATGTATTTAGACAGAGCTGCTTGCTTGATCTCTGAATACCGTATATGTGCATACTGCACTATGCTGACTAAGTTCACGGAAATGGGAGCAAATTCTACTGCTTTCAGATGAGAAGGCTGCCAAGAAGGAGAAGAAAAAAAAAGAAAAAACCCTCAAGTGTATTCACAGTCTATGCTCCCCCATTCCCTTTTATCCTTCTATAAATATTCAAACCCTTTTTAGAGAGACTTCTGTTAATGTGTTATCCCTGCGAACACTGTGGACCTGGAACATGCTTAATACTCTTGAATCCCACAGGAATTATTTGCTTGGGGAGAGGCTGGAGACAATTTCAAATGGGATGGGGTAGGAATCTTGGTAACCAAAAAACATGCCCATTTGCTCAGCCTCCATCAGGACCACTGTTGTATGTAACTGATAGAAGTTGTTTCTCCCTCCCTCCTCCCTCCCCCGAGGGCTCCTAGAGCAGACGGTTGCTTTCTCTCCCCACTTCCCAACCCCCCAAAAAGGGAAGGGTAGTGGTGGGGGTGAGAATGGGGAGGGGTAAAGAAACCCTCCTTTGACTTGGACATATGCACAAAATTATGTGAACATCTGTGTAAGTAACAACATACAACAAGACAAATTATTGGTGGTAAAAGGCAAAACCCTTGTTTCGAAAACATGTCTGGAGATGGTGTGTATACAGAAACTCGCCTTGTGCTAATTATACATAATAACTGTCAGCTTTATGTTACACGGGCTTCTCTGGTATTAATTGGTGGTAGTGGTGGAGTGTTTTGTTTTTTGGGTATTTTCCCCACATTGTCTCTTTGCTCTGTGTGTGTGTGTGTGTGTGTGTATACAAAGTATATCGTTTCATTTTGGTAGTTCATGTTATCTGGGAAACTATATAGAAATGTATGGGATTTGGTGTCTCATTTCTTGAAATATAACAATGGGCAGATGAAGTTTTTTGCTACAGAACCGACTCACGTTGCCACCTCTGTGTAACAAGGAGACTGTTGAATACAACGTGCCTAAAATTGTTTTTTTTTAAATATACAACTTTTGGTTTTTTATTTCATTCCTTTACAAACGATTATATGCATACATACACAAAATGCCACTCATTGTAAGTGAATGAATTTCCTGCTTTGTTCTTGGCCACTTTCTAACTTTGCTTAATACCAAGATATTCAGGCAACATATCCCTAAGGATTTTATGATATGAAGAGCCCTGTACTTGGAGTTGTCCACTGTCAGAGGCAGCATGAAACATGGCCTTGGAGTCAGGAAGACTTGATACTGGCTTGTGTGACCCTGAGCAAATCATTTAACTTCTGTGTTTTCTGGGCAACTCTGAGACCAAGTTGCAGAGAAGGTGTCCATCTACTTTGATGGAGAGGGAGTTTCCTTTCCAGGAAATCCCCTATACCAGTGAAATCACAGATCCAGTTCTTGTCTCTGTCCTTTGCTTAAAGACCTAATTCTAGCTGTGGCACTAATTGGCTATATGACCTTGAGAAAGTTAAAGCTGAGTGGCACAGTGGATAGAGCACTAAGGCTAGAGTCAGAAGCCAGACTCAGACACTTTCCAGCTGTGTAACCCTAGGCAAGTCGTTTAATTTCTCTGGGACTCACTTTCCTCATCTGTAAAATGGGGATAATAACAACACCCTCCTGCCAGGATTGTTGTGAGGATCAAGTGAGATAATATTTTTTAAGTATTTGGCTCTTAATAAATGCTTGTTTCCTTTTTGGTCTTCCTTCTGTGCCTCAGTATTAGCATCTTCACCTGCTTTACTAAATATATCACTGTTTATTGTGTGGATCACATAGAGAAAATTGTGAAATTGAATTATTTGACTAAAATAACTCATGCTGAGTGTTAAAAGCAAGGACCTGTTCGAACAAATGCACTTAGCTTGTACCTTCAAGGTCAGGAGGTCAGCAGGTTCAACAGAAAAGGAGTCCCTCGGAGTCCTGCAGACTGAATTCCTGGGGAGCAGGGGCTGCTGGTGGTTGTTAGTGTTGTTGTGTGATAGGTCTTTTGTGTCCCCAGCACTTAGCACAATACCTGGCATATAGCAGGTGCTGAATAAAGCTTCTTCTATGGACTTGGAGCTCAAATATAGAGTTGCTGGGAAGACAGGCAGTCTTTCTGATATCTAGGACCCAAACTATGTAAAGTTGGCTAAAAATAGGAAATGTATCAGGGTTTCTTCCATTTCTCCCTACTAAAAAAAAAAAGCACCAATCCATTGCAGCTAATGTCTTTGAAGACCTTTGAAGAATCAGAACATTTCAAAGCAACCATAATAGCCCTGTGGAATGTATTTTCAAAAGTAGCCTTAACTTAGCTTTCAGTTTGGGGTAGAACATTTAATGCAATTGCAGCTTTAGACGGCCATATGCCAACAGTCTTATTAATGTGTAGAAGGTGAATGAGCTTATGTGTCTAACCCAAGTGCTCCCAGGTGAGCGTTCAGGGCACACCATCAAATTGGGTACCCAGAACACTGAGGGGGGGGAAATGTTGAGATCCTTTTGAAAATGTCATATTTGATGTACTAATTAGCTTTCACAGAAAAAGTATAGGACAGAATGGGAATACTCTGAAATGAGATTAACCTTTCCTCAAAGTTTCTAGAATGGAATTCACTGCATGTGCTCACCTTCATTTTAGCAGCAAGAACACCTCCAGGTTCAATTTGCATTTCAGAGAATGGAATAGTTTATCCCCACATATATAGCTAGATGTGATAAAACAGAAGCACGAAGAGACTGGCAAATGCCTATATTTTATGCAGCATTAGGACTAGAAAGAAAGTATGGCTTTTTCCCCTTCTACAAAGAAATATTCTTAATTCCCCCTTTTAGGACTAGGCCAGGGGTGGTAAACTTGCAGCCTCGAGGCCACATGGGGCCTCAGGTTCCCCATCCCTGAATTATTGGCTGCCAAGAGAAATCTCTCTTGTTGGGTCTCCTGTTTAAAAAAAAAAACTATCAGAGAAATCAACTTTTTTTTTGTTTTTGTTTTTAAACCTGGTCTTGTTTAGTTTCTGGTTTTTTTTTTATTGTTGTTGTTGATTTATTTTTGCCATGAGATTCTCTGACTACTAAACCCTTGATCATGATCTGATTATTGATTTACTCCCTCCTCTCCCTACCTCCAGGATTCCATTGTATAGGCCCATAAGACAGAAGAAGACCTGAGAGTGGAGAGAGGGCAGAGGAGTGTGTGGATGGTTGCAGTGGAGGGAGGAGGTAAGAAAGGCAAGGGGGAGGGTAGGGGAAGAGCATGCCTAAATAGAGGCTTAACTTGGTTAATGGAACTGGTGTTTTGAACAAGAGGATTTGCTAAGGGTATCCTGTCACCCTCCCCACCCCCCACCCCATACAGGCCAGGTGGTTTCTGCTTACATACATGGCTTGGCTCCCTTACTCTTTGGCTTGGAGTATTTCGCACATGAACAACACAGCCTTCTCCCAGAGATTTGTCACCCATCTGCTTGCATAAGGGCTGTCTGTTTCTCTCAGAAAACTGGTCAAATCAACATTTTCCTTTGGCCAGGGTGGCTTACCAGCAGCTCTTCCATACGGTCCCAAATGGCAATTTTTCATTCCATTTGCCTGATTGGCTCCATCCCTCTGTCCCCCTTTCCACCTCCCCTTCATCTCCTCCAGCCCCTATTTTTGTTGTTTAGAAGCACTGTCACTCATGAAGGCATTATCTAGTTCTATTTCTCCTCAAATGGCTTGTTACTCATAAGTTTAAAGCAACATTGCCTTCTGTCCTCAGAAGGTTTGCAGATGTTTTTTTCATGTTCCCTTCCAGTGTGTGATGGAGGACGGATGCCTTTTCTCACACTTTTTCTAAGCTATGTCTCTTTAGGAACATTGTAGGCAAATATGTCATTGAATCGCCCTACTTATGATCTAGCCCATCCCTTCCCCTCCCCTCCATGTGCTTGCTGTAGGCAGTGGCTAATATAAATCCATAAAGCTTGATGTTGACTGTGAAGTTGAATTTTGTTGTCCTCATACTGAAGGGGTGCACATACTACACATTTCTCTTCTGAGACAGTCTTGAAAACACTGTGAACAAATGATTTGGACTGAGGGGCAGCATCAACTTTGTCTTTTATATCCCAGAGTATTAGTTAGCATTAAGTTAAAAAAAAAACATTCCCCCCTCCCCAATTCCTTCTGCCAATTATAAAGGGAATCTTAGGCAGAGCTAAAGATTGAAGTGACTAAATGAGCATCCATTTTACATATAAGGAAATCAAGGTTCCGAGAATTATGTGAGCGAGTATCAGAGGTGAGACTCAAACTGAGATTCAGTGAGTCCAAAATGAGAATTTTCAAGGCCAGGAATTAGGTTCAATGGATTTAGGGCCATTTACAGAGCTAAACTGTATGAAAATCCATTTGTTTTCTCAATTTTCTAAATTATATGGGTGAATAGTCTAAAATTTACTGAACAAACATTCCCATTGCCATCCTTTCCCCACAGCATAGGCATCCTTTCTCCCTACTTGTATGTAAACATATCTATGATATTGATAGAAAAAATACCATCCAGTGGAAAGAATAAGAGATTGGAAATTAGTAAACCTGGGTTCTGCTCCAGCTAGGCTACCAACCTCAGTGGCTTTGGACAAGTTATTTAATCTCTCTGGGCCTCAGATTCCAGTTCATTCGTATCAGTGGATCTGTGATCTATGTGGATATTCTCTCCAGAGATATTCTCTCCACCAGTCAGCTCAGTGTTTCCTTCCCATCATATGTGGCTCTTGTCTATGGCCTCTAATAATCAAAATCTACTCCCTAGAGTAGAGCTTACTATTTTGTACATATAGCATACCTACTCTTCAACCCCTCTTAGTTGAATTAAGCACATTGGAGGCAGGTACTGTTTAATTTTGTTTCTTTGCCATCAATCACAGTATATTTCATGTGGTAGACCCATATTCTCAAAGAATATGCAGTGAATGAGTTCTGTGGAACTTGAAATTGTAGTCATAAAAATGCACGTATGAGTCTTCACAGCCAAGAGTATTACTATGCCATAAGACCTTCCGCACCCCAACCTCTCCACCAAAAGTCTGAAAGCCATTATGGCAGACCCTTAGTAAGTCCTAAATTCAATTGCATGGAAGAATTAATAGTCTAAAGAATGCAGTGCAGTCACACGTTCCATTAACTTGGAGCTAATCAAAGGTAAACTCTGGCAAGAAGGTAACTCATTAAAAAAAAAACCATTAAATGTTGTGGTAATCAGACAACACTGAATAGACCTCCACATCAATACATTAAAGAAATCCTCTACCCCAAGCTATTAGCCCAGTATAGATACTGGCTTGAAAAGTTGCTTTACTTGGTTTGCACAGGCTTATGCAATTTTCTCCTTGTTGGCCTTCAGTCTGACTTCCCTTCCATGCCACCCTTAACAGTTTTCTTGGCTTATGGATCTCAGTTCTTTTGAAATACTCCCACAGTACCCCTGTGGCTTACTCCCTCTTTACTCACCTAACTGATCAACTGTTCTCCCCCCCCCCCGCCACTGGCAACATTGAAATAAAACTTATTTATAATATTTCAGGCCTGCTCCATGACTCCCATCTCTTACCCAAGACATTGGATAGCCTAGAATAGTTGGAGAATGGAGGGGGGGGCAGTGAAAGGTGGATCAGACTTTAGGTTAGAAGACATGGGCTCAAGATCTAGCCCAGCTATTTGCTGTAACGAGTCATTTGCTGAACCTTACTTTTCTCATTTATAAAAAAAGACAATACTACTTAAATATGTCCCAGTATTGTTCCAAAGAAAGCACTTTGCGTATGGTAATGGTAGTAAAAATAAGTAGCCTGGCATTGTAGATAGAACACAGGCCTAGGGTTCAAGAAGACCTGTTTTCAGGTCCTACCTCAGACACTGTGAATGATATAAATCTGGTGAGTCACAGTCAACAAGCAGAGAGTTGCAGAAAAAAACTCAGTGACCTGTGGTTGGTAGAGGAAGTTACCTTACTGAAAGTTCCCTATACCATTGAAATCACAGTTAAATAGGAGAAGGGAAAACAATCTATAGAACTTAAGAATGTATCAATATGACTTAAGGGAATATAACCCTTAACACTTTGTAAAGCTTTTTTCTTTGTAGCTAAATAGTATGAGTATTTCAGCAATTCAAAATTTTCAAGATGTTGGAAGATTTCATAACCTATGATTAAGTCACATAAACCATCATGATACTTTATTCTGAATCTTTACATTTTTCATTCAGTAAATGTTCAGAAAACACTAGCTGAATGATAGATTTTTACACCAGTTTGAATACCTTGGCTGCACTTAAGCCTTCAGGGAAAGTGGACATTCTCTCCCATATGTTGTTTTCCTAATAGAAAAATGAAGGCTAGAGCTTACAATTGCTGAGTTCTTTCATGTGAGGAAGTAAGGATGGCACAGATTCAGGTTCTAATAAATAATGAGGCAGAATGTCAACAAGAAAGCGGCACAGGACAGTGGAGATGATGCAGAGCCAGCTCGAACTGTGATGCAGCGGAGGTATCAGTACTGACTTTCACATTTGATTGCAGACGAAAGCTTTCCAAGTAAATGATTTCCTGCTACTAGGGTTTCCCCTTAGGGAAACCCCACGGATTTCCCCTTCATTAAAAATGAATTATAGCAAGCTACCCCTAAAACCCCTTACCTGAATTAGATTCCACTATTATATGACAATACTGGTTTGTGAAAAAAAAAACATTCCTTGGTTAAAATACTTGATATCTTTGATGTCACCTTGAATATTTCTGAACTTTCCTTTGTGAAAATTACACGGGGGAGTTATAAAATTAATCCATAATCAGCAACAACATACATCAAGACATAGCAGACATTATATTCAAATACTTGCTTGGATGTGGGTTCTCAATGATGTGGCTATTCCCTCCAGTGATATAGATCAAAGACTGTTTGTACCTGCCTATCCTGTAAGATTCTTGCCCGAGTTCTCTCATGTATTCTCCACAAAGGGAATCGACTCAACGTGTGTGTGGTTGTGGGAGTGGGGGTGGGGCATCTTTCACCTGACGATACGATCGTAACAAATATTAATTTCTAAGAAATGCTTGTTTGGGGCATTACCTGGAAAGAAAGTCTGTGAATGTCAGTTATATATATCACTGTCAGTGTGGGCACCGATGTTCTCTGGAGGCCTGGAGGAAAAGCTTTTTCTCTCAGTATGTGTATAGTGAGAAGTAATGAGTGAGAAAGGTCTGTTTGGGGGTTAAGTTCCAGTCTCCTGATCGATCTGCTAGGTGACTGGCAGAATCTTGTAATCTTTCTACTTCTTAATTTTCTAAGGAGATAATGCTTTAGAGGTAGTGAGAGGATTAATTAATGCTGTGTTTGAGGCCTTAAACTGTGTATTTGAGAGAGCTCCAGATCTATTCTGTTTTAAGTCTTTCTCTTCAAATGAAAAAAAAAAAAGAAAAAGATGGGGATTTGGAAGGAGTCAGGATAGGAAGCCCAGGATATACTCAGTAGAGTTATTTATATCTCTCTGAGTGGTTTCTGATCACCGAGGCAATATTCTCCAGCACCTTAGAATCATAGCTTTAGAGCTGGAGTGGTTATCAAATCCAACTCTGTCATTTTACAAATGAGGAAAATGAGGGCCAGAAAGTCCCCTTAATTTGTCTAAGGTCACACTGGTATTAACTGTCAGAAGCCGGATTTGAACCTTAGCCTTCTGATTCTAAATCCAACCCCTTTTCTTCACCTAGAGAGCTATTGTTACACCAGGGTGGGTGAAAAAAATTGGGCATCATATTGACTTGAATGTAAAAACTATTCCATGCCTCACTGGTAGTAACATTTGCTTAGTACTTCATTATTGGCTGTTTGATGACATTGTGGTCTCTCCTACTCTCTCCCAGGCTTTACAGTGTAGGTTTCTCTAAAGATAATGTTGCCAGAGAGTGAAGCAATTCTTCCCTGACTTGAAATAAATGAGAATAAAATCTGGCGACTCATTAAAGTAGAAGGGCAAAAAACAAAATAAAACAAAAACCTCATGCACTTGAATAGATTAAGAAATTTTAATACCTATTTTTTGCAACAGGTGGGAATAGAATATTTATTAAAAAGAATTTTTTTAAAAATCTACATGGGCAGTTGCCCCAGGATAAACTTTTCTAAACATGGTACTATTAATTCTTTTGAGTAAAAATGAAATTTTAATACTTATTTCTATAT